GCATTATTGCTCGGTGGTAAATACAAAATCTCCCCGTCTCTACCAGGTTTTTCTGATGCAGCCTCCTGTCAGCACGGCCTGTGCTGCTGCCAGACCCACTCAAAAGATTGTGTTTTGGCAGATGTCAAAGCAGGAGCCGCCAGTGCTCTATTCTCCTTGTAACTGTAATTTATATTTTTCTTTGGAGTGTAGGACAAAAGTGGGAAGGAATCTACGACCACTAAACCAAGCTCAAAGGATAAAGGAAAGCCCAGAGACCCTAAAACGGTACAAACACATTTATTGAAGTATGGACAGGCATACAAGAGGGGCAGGGGGGCAGCTGGATTTTGGACTTATGTTACAGGGTTGTTATTTTGGGGGGGGGGTTTACATCAATATGTTGAATTTGATCCATTTTTGCAAACTTGCACATAGGAGAAAGGCCCCTTTCTATTTCAGGGGAAATAAACAGGGGCAAAAATATATGTATATTTCAGACAGAGTATTGTCCTCTGAGGGGGTTATTCAGTGCTCCACAGGCTTCTCCTTCCCAGATTTGTAGATCTAATAGTCCCACTTTGCATTCCTGTAGCTGCCTCAGGCAGAATCCCCACCACTTCTCTCATTTCTTGACAGTTTTGAGTAACAGCATCTCAAAAGTGATTAAAAAAGTACTCCAACAACCACAGCCAGGTTCCAAGTCATAATCATAAATTATTTTTTTAAATTAATGAAGGCCTACATACTTTCATAAAAAGAGTATGAATGAACAAGGTGGGGAAAGGCAAGTAGCTGTTTCTATATTGAAGAAAAAGGGGAAAAAAAGGGGGCAGGGAGGGAGAAGGGGAAGGTAAAAAGGCTTGTTTGGCTTTTTTTATCCAGAAGGAGAGAAAATTGATTCAGGTCAGGGGGAAGCTTGTTCCATCATGTTGTTCTCACAGAGGCTATATGCAGTAGATGCCTGAATCAGGCGATTGCATCTGCTCTGGGAGTTTTACATTTCACATGTCAGTGATGGGATTTCTGGTTGTTGTTGTTATTATTAAATCACCACAGGTGCCTTTTTTGAGACCCCAGAACTGACTTGCAGCTCTCAGTGTAAAACTGAGGGGTGTCTTTATCTCCTCTTCAGGAGGATGTTCTGAGCTGGGCCTGATCACTGGTGTGGGTAAAAGGGTGTTTAGGAACAGGGAATGATGAGGTCAGGCACAACCCACTCTGTCTGAAAGAAAGCAATTGATGGTGAAAAGCTGAAAATATCTGTACACAGCAGGAGTCACCAATACTCTTGCTAAACTATTTCAGGTGCAGTTTGTATTTATGTCTGAACTGTGACTCTGAGGAGTCTGCTAAAGCCTGATTTCGAGTATTAGTTTGGTTCAGTTTCTCATTGTCTCATCCTCTCTTTAGGCAAAGGGACAGTCCTCCAGCAGCAAATCTGAGAAGCAGAAAACAAGCTAAACGTTAGCCTTACCAGGTGAGATTTCTTCTTCCCTGCTCCCTGGGCTACCACAAAGACAATTTCATGCTCATGAATTAAAGCTGAGTTTTGCTGGCAGTCCTTGAAGAAAACCAAGACATGGTTAAAACTGCTGCTAAATCAAAATGCTTGGGATGACTTTGCACTTCAGGGTTCCCAGGCAGGAAAGTTTTTTCACACCCTTTATCCATTCAGTATGTAAAGAACTACTTCATGTAGCTAAACTCCTTTAGGCTGGTGGAATTCCAAGCATTCCAAGGTGTAACATGCTGCTTCCCTAAGCCATTTTCACAGAGTAATGAGGATCAAGCACATCTCAGCTGGGGGTTTTGATCTTTAGGATTTTGGCCTTGTGTCATTACCTCTACTCTGGACCCATCTGGAGGCTTAGTTCCCATAATTCTTCCCAGATTTATGTTGTGAGTTTTATTTCCAATTAACAGAAGATGAGCACTCTGACTTTATTTTTTTTGTTTTGTTTTCTCCCCCCACCAGGATCCTGCTGCATTGTGTAAAATGTCTCCTTTCTGTGGGTGGATGATTATTCCTGAAGAACAAAAGCTGATGGCAAAAGCACATAATTATTCTGGGTGGTTTTTGTACAGCGATACTTGCTGGACTTTTCCTCATCTTTTCTTTTTTCCCAGTAGTAGACTCAGGTTTGTTTCTTTCCCCCAGCAATTCAGTTTATTAGGACTCACATAGTCTGACTTTTTTGTCATTTCCTTCAGCATTCAGGGGGAAAGAATGCTTTCTATTTGCAGGAAATATATTGCATCAATGAAGAGCTATGCCAAAAAAAAAAAAAAAAAAAAAAAAAAAAAGAAAGAGGAAAAAAATATCTGCAGACCTTTGCACATAGTCTTCACATAGTGCCTGTAAATCTCTGAAGAGTTCATATGTGCTAGCATTTTTTAACGTTGCAGTGGATGCATTAAGTATTCTGGAACATAGCGAGCTTTAGTTACCCTCAGCTGGGCTGTGCAGCCTTCTGCTCAGGCCAGTTCCTGGTGGGAACCTGCAGGCCAGCTGTGGGGTGGCTAAAGAGTGAGAAAATTGGGGATTAGCCGCTTCTTCCAGCACGTCTGGACATCAAGCAGGTATTTGGGATGCTGCCTTTAGCAGTAGTTAAAACACACTAGGGCAGGACTTCTTTTTTTTTTTTTTTTTTTAATTATTATTATTACCATTATTTCCAATTGTATCTGTACTGTTATCTCATAATTTCAGGAGTCTCCTGGACTGGACAAATCACAAATGTAACACAGAGGGTGGGGAATGAAAGGAGGGACGTGAGCCCCAGCAGCGATCAAAGCTCAGGTCCAGGGTCAGGCTCCTTTTTATCTTATTTTGCACTGTTTCCAGTCCTCCTGTTCCTGGCACTCCAGCAGGGAACGCAGGGAAGGGGCTGAAGGTGTTGCTGCAGGGAGCAAAGCCCCATTCCTGCTGTTCCCTGCGAGGACAGGCACGGCCAGGCACCTCTCTCGGGCCTCGGTGGGCTCTCCTCCGCCTCCCTGCCCTGCAGAATGTCCTTCTGCTCATCCTGACACGTGCACGGCTCTGCCCTGGGCTGGCAAAGGGAGGCCACTGGCAGCAGAGCCCGGGCTCTGCGGGCAGGGACAGCGCAGGGACTGAAGTTGGGGATATTTAGACTCGTGACTGTACTTGCAGTCTGCACCGTGCCACTCCAATAAAGTTTTTAAGGATGCACTGTGCCCTTCCTGGCTTTTCATTTATCACCGCTGCTCTCAGGCAGGAGGAAGCCTAGAAATAATTTTTAAGAAACCACACAAATGTTGGCATATTAAAATTGGATCTAATGTTTCAAAAAACCCCGCAAAATACAGAATTGCAGAATCAGCTAGGTTGGGAAAGACCTTTGAGATCATGGGGTCCAAGCTATGACTGAACACCAGCTTGTCAACCACACCATGGCACTTGGTGCCACATCCAGCCTTTTCCTAATCACATCCTGCAACTCCACCACCTCCCTGGACAGCCCCTTCCACTGCCCAATCCATCTTTCTTTACATGTTGGTGACACATGCCATGTTGGTGACTCCAGGAGAGCCTTCACAAGCTCAGTGTGACCCTGCTACATATTTTTTTTTGCCCCTTTGTATTTCAAAGCTGCATCATAGCTGACCGAGAGCAAATCTAACTTTTTGGCTGCTGCTGTGCTGGGAGGCAGCTGGAAGAGCAAGATGCAATGCACTGAAGTTGTTTGTGCTCCGGTAAATTGACAGGTCCTGAAATACCTGTGTGTGAGCTCCCATCTCTTCTGCAGGAGGGCTGCAGTGCACCTGGGAGAACAGGCACATCCAAAATTAAAGGGTGGGGAGGGAGTTACTGGAGTTCCAGGAAGGCCACCTAATTTTGCCCTCAGAACTGAGAATTTAAAAGCAGAAAGCAGAAATGCCATTTACTGCTCACAAAAGAAATGACTGCACAAAAGGGGACCAAAAAAATACCTTGCAGAAAAATCATCTGCAATTTGAGTTTCTGTGAAATTCACCATTAGGCTCTTAAGATGTTTTAAAAGCAGCAGTTGACAATACTTGAATAGCACAAAATGTCACTGGCATGACGCAGAGCTTTCTCAGAATTCCTGATTTACATATAAATATCTGTATCTATTTAAAAATACATGGAATTTGACGTGAGCAGGAGGAAGTGGTGCTTTCTGCAGGGTTTTGTCAGAGCTGCTGGCTCTCAGCAGAGCAGCCAGGTGCCTTCCAAAGTCCCAAAATGGAGAGGGTTTGGACTCCTTGGGCAGGCTTGATCTCCAGGTGGGGGAAAAGGGAGGCATGGTCAAGTCAAATGCTTGGGACTATTTCTAGATTATGATTTTTTTTCCCTCCTTGGTCTCTACCTCTGTTAAAATTCCAGCTGTTTGGGCACATCCATGAGGAAACTGAGACAGGCTGGAACCACACAGGAAATAAACACCAGGGACTCAACCCCAAGGGTGCATTTGTAAGAGCAAGGAAATCAAGTGCCCTCAAGCACAAGTGCCAATTAACAGATTTGAGTTAGGTTTAATACAAAAATAAGAGTTTTCAGCAGGAAAACGGAGCAGGCCACTCACTGGTGCCTTGAAAAACAGAAACTCCACCCATAAAAACTCAACCTCCAGGGTTTCAACCTTGCTTTCTTGGGACTGGATGTGGCACTGGCTGTCAGGGATGGGCAGCATTCCATGGCCCTGCAGGTGACACACGAGAGCCACCAGGGTTGGCCGAGCGACCCCTGCAGTGGCACGCCCTGGCCCCGCCTCCCTCGCGTGACCACGCCCCTTTTCCGCTCCGAAACCGCCCCTCTCGGCTGCGGCTCCGCCCCCAAGCGCTCCGCGCACTTCCCATTGGCCGGCGGTACCGCCTCGTGCCCGCCGCGGCCTCCCATTGGCTGCGGGTGCCGCTGTTGTTGTTATTGCTGTTACTGCTGTAAACAGGAGCGGAGCGGTGTCACCTGTCAGTTCTGTCACCTTTGGTCACCTCTGGCCACCTTTGGTCACCTCTGGCCACCTCTGGTCACCGCTGGTCACCGCTGGTCACCGCTGGTCAGTTCTGGCCACCTCTGGCCACCTTTGGTCACCTTTGGTCACCTTTGGTCAGGTGTGGGCACCTTTGGTCGCCTCTGGTCACTTCTGATCACCGCTGGTCACCGCTGGTCACCTCTGGCCATCTTTGGTCACCGCTGGTCACCTTTTATCGCCTCTTATCGCCTCTCACCACCCCCCACCTCTCGCCCGTCACCTCTTTTCACCTCTCACTCCTCGTCACCTCCTTGTCCCTTGTCGCCGCTCGCTTGCCGGAGCTCGACCCTCGCTCGTCCGGGCCATGTCCCTGCGCGGCGGCCGCGGGCTGCCCGTGTCCCCGCTGCCCTCCCCGGGCACGGCCCCGCTCACGCCGCTGCCGCCGGACGGCGCTGAGAGCCCGGACAGGTGAGGGGGTGGCCGGGGGGGCCGGGCTGGCTTTGTCCAGGGACACCCCGGATGGGACAAGGGACACAAGAGTGCCCGAGGGCGCTTTTGGGATGCTCCCGTTCACCTCCTGCCCCCGGGGAGGGGGCTCGGGGCACCCGGGGCACTGACCCTTCCCCGTCCCGACCGCCCGCAGGTACCGGGACACCCCGAGGAGGGGACGTGGGCGGCTGTGGCACCCCCTGGCCCCGGAGCCGCTGGCCTCGGACCGTCCCCGGCACTCGGTGTCCTGGCAGCCCAGGGATGCAGGTGAGGGATGCGGCCGCTCCGCCCCACAGCCGTCCCCAAAGTCGCGCCGAGGGTGTCGGGGGTGTCTCGGCAGGGCTTGGCCGAGGGGGTGGTGGCGGGGCAGCTTCTGGGGAGCGTTGGGCAAGGAGCCCGTGCCTGGGGCTCAGGCGGGAACCGCTCGGCCGGGGACACCGCGCAGGGTGACGCGCGACATTCCGTGCGGCACCGCTGCTCCCAACGGCGCTGCCACCCGCGGCTCCCGGCCCGGCCTCATCCTGCCCGCGACCCCATCCCCACACCCTGACCCTTGTTCCCCCGCAGGATCGGGGCCGGACTCCCACACGCAGCAGAGCCCCGCGCAGGAAGAGTGAGTGGCCCCATCCCTGTGTCCCCCGGGGACAGACAGACAGCCGCTGTCCCTGCCTCGCCTCTCCGGAGCAGCAGGGCCCGGTCTCAGCCTGGCTGGGGGCTGCGCATCCGGCTGTGACCCCCAGTCTGTGTCTGGGTGTGACAACCTGGGCTGCTTGGGGGGGACGCGGGTGGACGCCCCCTAAATCCCATCTCTGCTCTCCCCACAGCTTCCAGAAAACCATCGCGGAGTTTGGGAGAGCTCTCAAAGAGTACGTCACGGGGCTCTGTCCCTGCAGGACATGAATGCCAGCTGTCCCTGTGCCCACGCTGTCCCAAAAGCTAGGCTGTCCTCGAACTCGGGCTGTCCCTGTCCCTGTCCCAGACCCAAAAGCCAGGCTGTCCCCGTGTCCAGGCTGTCGCTGTCCCAGACCCAAAAGCCAGGCTGTCCCCGTGTCTGGGCTGTCCCTGTCCCAAAAGCCAGGATGTCCCCGTGTCCAGGCTGTCGCTGTCTCTGTCCCAAAAGCCAGGTTGTCCCCGTGTCCAGGCTGTCCCTGTCCCAAAGGCCAGGCTGTCCCCGTGTCCCTCCTGGGGTCCCACTCAGGCCATTCATTGGTGTTCGCTCAGTGCCTGGAAGTGCTGTTGCCCCGGGTCCCTTTGGGAAGCTGTGACAGCCCTGGGGGGTCTTACCCCACCCTCAGGACATGGGGGACGGAGGTGACAATGGCAGAAGGGTGGGACACAGCGGTCGGGGACACCTGCAGTCATTCGATGCTTTCCTTTCCCGGCTCTTGCAGCAGGAAGCTCCTTCGCCAGAGGATCAGCTCCTTGCCGGTGAGTGCTCCAGGATCCTGCCGGGTGTCCGGCCGAGCCGGGACGAGGAGGATGGAGCCGGGAGAGAGGGCAGGGCTGTGTAGCACCGCTCACCCCCTGGCTGTCCCGCAGCAGGGCCAGCTGGAAGCCAGCCCGGTGCTGAAGGACATCTCCCAGCTCCAGGTGCGCAGGGGCAGAGTGCGGCAGAGCGAGCCCGAGGATGAGGTGAGGGGCGCGGTGACACCTGGGGGGGGTCAGGGAGGGGACACAGGGGTGCTGACACCGTGTCCCCCCCGCTGCAGGAGGGTTTTGTCCCCAAGAAGCTGCAGAGGCTGGGCCAGCGGAGCCGCCTGCCCGCCGGCCACGGGGCTGCCAGGAGGGACCTCCTTGCCAAGAGCCCCAGCGGCGCCCCAGAGCTGCTGGTGAGAGAGGCTGGAGCGATCAGGAGGAGCCACGGATGGGTGATCTTGGGCAAAGTGGCATCCGCCACTCCAGCCTGCCCTGGAGGCGTGTGCCTGTGGGAGATGGGCGGGCTGGGGAGTCCTGGGGACACCCTGATTCCAAAGCTGCGAGGCACTGGGAGGTGGATGGACCTTTAGGTACCGGACCCGACCCTTCCTGAAGGGTGGGAAGCAGCTGGAATCCCATTCACGATCTCCTCTGCCTCTCCCCGGTTCCCCCAGCTGCCGCTGTGGCAGAGCGATGCCACCGTGCCCCAGGGCATGGAGAAGCCGGTGACCACGCCAGTGATAAAGAAGGAGGAGGCAAAGCTGGTACGTGGCCACCTTTGGCAGTGGATGGAGCTCCAAAATCCCCTCTGGGGGCTCCGAAGGGGGGTTCCTGGGCTGGGGGCAGCTTGGTGAGCAGCCCCAGCCCTGGAGCTGGAGGCTTGCCAAACCCCCAGGCAGCAGCGCGGGCTCTCCCCACAGCGTCCAGGCAAGCGCGGCCAGGGCCGGCAGCTCTTCCGCTCGCCCTCGGTGCCCGGCAGTGTCACCGAGCGCCTCCCGAAGCGAGGGCTCCGCTCAGACGGGGACAGCCCTGCCAATGCCCAGCGGCAGAGCAGGATGGCCGGCAGCCCTGAGCAGGAGGCGGCGCTGGAGCCGGTGGGTGATGGGGAAGGTGCGGGGGCAGAGCCAGCCTGTGGCTGGCAGGACTGTGCCAGAGCCCCTGCTGACATCTGGGGGTGTCTCTGGTCGGTGCCTCCGCAGGGAGCGTGGCTGGAGCCCTGCAGGTCTGCCCAGCTCCAGGAGATCGAGAACCTGCTGGCCAACGATGACCAGGAGCTCATTGGGGACTTCTCCAAGGTAGGGCCACCAGGATGGGGCAGCTCTGAGGGCGCTGCCCCCGTTGTTCTGAGCAGGGACCATCATCAGAGCCCCGCAGTGCCACCAAAGAGAGCCCAAAGCGAGCTGGTGGCCCTTGCTTGGGCACACGGGGCCTTGGGGCTGTGACCTTGCAGGGGGTGAAGAGCCCCCATCACTGCTCCTCTGCTCCATGCCCGTGCCTCAGGCACGTTTGTCTGTCCCTTCCCTGCCCGGGGCAGCAGAACCGGCCACGGGGGGCTCCTGGGCTGGGGGGACAGTGCCACCAGCCCCGGGAGGTGCCCCCGGGACAGAGCTGAGCCCAGGGTTTGTCTCCTCCAGCCTCACCTGCTGCCCACGGTGGAGGGCAAGGACCCGGGCCTGAAGTACATCTCCCCGGAGACGGTAAGAGGACAGCGGCCCTCCCGCAGCCCCCCGAGGGGCTGCCTGCCTGTTCCCGGCCCCGTGTGTCCCCTCTTGGTGACCCGGTCCCCCCGCAGCTGGTGGCGGTGCTGTCGGGAAGCTACAGCAGCTTCATCGGGAGCAGCGTCGTTGTGGATTGCCGGTACCCCTACGAGTACGAGGGAGGCCACGTCAAGGTCAGAATGCCCTCACCGTGGCCCCGGGGCTGGGAGGAAAGGGGGGTATCCGAGCCCAAACCAGCCCCAGAGGTGCTGAGCCCACCCTGGGAAGTGCAGAGAAAACAGGGATTCAGGATGCCCCGGGATCTGTTGAGTAACCTCTGAGAGATTAAGCAGCCCCTCCAAAGATGCTGAGCTCTCAGAGAGGAGTGAAGCAGCCTGTCCAAAGATGCTGAGCTCTCAGAAGGGAGTGAATCAGCCTCTCCAGAGCCCCTGGAGGGGTTGAGCAGCCCCCTGTGAAGGGTCCTGAGCCACCCAGAGGGGTGGAACAGCCCCTGAAAAGCGCCAAGCCGCTCTAGAAAGGGTTGATTCCCAAGTGGAAAGAGGAGCATGACGGTGGGGGAGGCTGGGGGCAATGTTGTTCTTGGGTCCCTGGAGAAAATGATGTTGGAGGCAGAGGGGAAAAAGGCGCCTGGTGTCCCTCCCCAGGGCGCCGTCAACCTGCCGCTGCAGCGGGACGTGGAGGAATTCCTGCTGGAGCGCCCCATCGTGCCCCAGGAGGGCGGCAAGAGGGTGATCCTCATCTTCCACTGCGAGTTCTCTGTTGAACGGGGGCCCAAAATGTGAGTGAGGGCTCACGGGGGGCGCACAGGGGTGTGCCTGCCAGCCCCCCGGACCCCTGGCCGGGGCTGATGCCGTGGGCTTTGCCGGGCCACAGGTGCAAATTCCTGCGGGAGAGGGATCGCTCCTGCCACGAGTACCCGCGGCTGCACTACCCCGAGCTCTACGTCTTGAAGGGGGGGTACCGCGAGTTCTTCTCCCAGTTCCCGGTGAGTTCCTGCCGGTGCCCCCGCGGTGCCAGGAGGGCAGGAATTGGGAGGGGATGGATGGGGGGCAGCAGGGCAGCGGGGAGGGGCGGCTCTGGCCCTGAGCATCTTCCCTGCCATGGGAGGGGATCTCGGCGCTGATGGAGCCGTGGGTTGCAGGGCCACTGCGAGCCCCGGGACTATCGGCCCATGGAGCACCCGGCGTTCAAGGAGGAGCTGCGCAAGTTCCGCGGGCAGAGCCGGCGCGGGCGGCGGGCGCTCTCCATCCTCTGAGCGCCCCGGGAGAACGCCGGAGCTGGGATTGTGGGAAGCGTTCCCTTGGATGGGGATGCACCTCAGCTTGGGCCAGCTTATCAATGAGTTTGGGGTGTTACTTAGTGTTAGGTTTGGGCATTTAGTGTTAGGATTGGGTTTGCGTTTGTTTATTGCTATAAATATTTTTCTGTTTGTTGTTATGATTTTTTGGTTGTTAGTATAATTTTTTATTGTTATAAATATTTTTGTCTATTGTTATAAATATTTTTGTGTTTGTTGTTACGCTTTTTTTTGGTTGTTGGTATAATTGTTTGTTTTTATAAATATTTTTGTGTTGTTATAAATATTTTTGTGTTTATTGCTATGAAATTTTTTTTATTGGCATATTCATATATTTGGTATATTGATATATTGATTTTTGGTTATTGGTATATTTGCTTATTTGTTTGTTTGTTCATTATAAACACTTTTGTGTTGACTGTTATGAATATTTTTGTGTTTGTCTGTTGTTGGGGCCGTTTGTTCCAGTCTCTGTTAATAAACTCCTCTTGCAGGAGAACAAATGCGGCTCCTGAGCTCTTCAGAGAAACAATTCCCAATGACCTGTTAAAATATGCTGGGGGGGGGGGAAAGATAATATCAAAGCAAATTAACTTTATATAAAGGGTTGCCGCAACAGTTTGCCTGTCACACAATGCATTTCCTCACTTGTAAATACGAAGGACTATTTATTTAATTGCTGATATCTTTTACATTTCCCTTGAAATGCTAAAAGGTTGGCCTTCTTCTCTTTACAGTCTCATAGGCCCGCTGGTATCCATGGTACCTGCTTTGCTATGGATCTATGTCATAGTAACAAAACACCAAGCCTGATTCGTTCTCCAGGAAGCTAAAGCTTCAGTGGGCTTTGGTGCTCCCCAGCTACCATAAAATAATGATCATAATATTATATCACTAAGTAATTTTTCATTACAGAGAGGAATTTAACACCCCACGAAATGGGAAATATATTCTACACTGCCACTCGTTGTGACATGGCTGTGAAACAACAGCTGAATAGCAAGTAAAACCAATGAGTATGATAATGCTTCATCATAACCCCGTTTTAAACAGGCTGCTGAGTAACTTTGACATGGAAACAGCATGACAGCAAATGCATATTCCCTGAAACTCACTGAGTGTTTATCTGAGCAGCGTCACAAAGAAGCCAGGAAGGAATTTTCATCGTGGGCTGCCAGCAAGAGGGATTTCCCTGCAGGGTGCTGTGCTCAGACCAGTGATGAAGAGTAAACTTTCTGTGTGGTACCCTTGTCCCTGCACAGCCAGCATGGCACGGCTATAAAAGCCACCTGCAGAGGTTTTAGGCTGCCCACAGCTCCCCTCATGGACCTGCAGCCACCCAGTGTTAGGCTCAGCTCTGTAAAATCCTCCATAAATAATTGCCTTTGACCCAGGCTTATTATTCTAGGACACTCCTGGCCTGCTCTTTACCCTATGCATGGTCAGGAAACCAAACCAGACCTGCTCATTTTGCTGTAGATCCTTGCAAATTGAGTTTTCTGGGACTGCTGGATCTTTCTAGCAGCTCAGAGCTCATTAGTGAAGCTAATTTAACCTCCTGGCAGTGTACAACTGCGTCCCACAGCATGCATGGACACACAGCAGTCCCTGGATTTGGAAGCCCCACAGCAATGCTGCTCCCACTATTCCCAGTGGAGGCTGAGTACAACTCTCTGAAAGGAAATGGTGGCATTTTTTCCCTCCTCTGGTTCCCCCTGCCAGAGCACACTGCTCTTTCTTACATCTGTTCTAGGCCTCTAACAAACCAGCAAAGGGCAGTCGGTGCCCTGAGAGCCCATGACATGATATCTTTGACCAAAAAAATAATCCCAATAATCAGTCTCCAGTCTCCAAAGGCATTTCCTGGAGCAGCTCCTGCTGGGGACAGCCCTGTTCTGAGTGAGCTGGGCTGTGTGACTCAGCGTGCCCGGTATGCAGGCAGCCCAGGAGCGTTGCTGTGTGATGCAACAGCCTCTCTCAGGTATCCCGGTTCTTTTCCCCAGGTGTGCCCCCACCCTTCCCCTCCCTTGCCCCCTGCTGACTGCTGTCCATCAATCTTGGCATTCCAGAAGGGCATAAATTGATTGGCAGAGTTCAAAAGATGCCTTACACCCCTGGAGGACATTGGGCCATCCTGGTGTCATTTGACCCCTGAGACTTCTCCCCCTGCACCTGGTTGGTGGGAACCCTACCCCTTTCCTCCCCCTCTCCCCGGGGTTAAAAGGAACAGCAACCACACGGTTTGACAGGTTCTGTTAGAGCTGTTACTGCATTCAGAGGCCTGTGGGCCAGGAATAAAGCTCTGGATTGAAAACCTCTAGCAGAACCCGACTCCTTTCCTTCATCCTCGCCTTAGAGCTTCTCTGCCAAGCAAAACCTGAGCTCCTGCATGTCTGAACTTGTCTCTAGCGCCCAGCTGCAGCATCCAGCTTAGCCAAAGGTGTCTCTGAGGTGAAAACACCACAGCTGCTGCCTTTTGGTCAAGCAGCAAGGGCCAGACGAGCCCAGGCACGTCCCTTCTGGCTATATTGGTAATCAATTCCAATACAGGAGTGCTGCCAGAAATAGGAAGAATAGAAGAGAAGTTTGTTTCTCAGCTATTCCAGAGTCAGGAGATGATCTCTCCAGGCTCCTGTGTGACCAAATTGAGGCTCCTGCTCTCCAAGAGGTGGCAGAGGATCAGCCTTTGGCACAAAGCTCATCTTCTTCCTGTTTCATTTACATAAAGAGTAGGACAGGGTCAGAACACCCATTTCCTGCTCCCCAGATTTGTGTTACCTTATCATGCCCAAACCATACTGTGGAGTTTTCTTCTTGCTGCCAATCTTAAACCCTTCAGGATCTGGGAAGCTGAGGGGTCAGGTCCATCATTCACTGCTCCTCTTCTAAGAGGGCACACAAGAACACACAACACTGCCTTTGCAGAGGTGCAGAAATGCAACTTTCAACCTTTCTGTAATCCTCTTATTGTCCCCCAGGCTCACACACCCTGCATTTCGCTTTGTACCTTACCTCAATCACTGTAGTCCTAATTTTTTCTTTTCTTTGAACACACAGGAGGTCTTCATGCCACATTTAAACTCAGCCTGGCCTTCTGCTGACAGTTTCCTTCTCCATCATCTGCCTTAAGCCCCTTCTCTCGCCCACACTCTCTGCTGGTTGTGCCTCCCTCTCTTTTTGGCTGTCCCATCATTCTCCAAGACCAAGTCCATGGCCCCAGCCTTGCACACCACGTATGATCCACACCTCTCCTCTCTTGGGGTCTCTGCTGCTCAGAGTGACCCTGAGATGAGTTAGAAAGTCTCTTTTCCCAGCCTGGCAGTCAAACAAAGAGTCAGAGCTCTTCGTTTCTCAGTCTCAAGGTTGTTTATTGTATCTTATCTATAAAATTCTTTCTCCTGCCCTGCCGAGGTCCGCTCAGCAAGACAGTCCAAGGCACTCTGCCTGCACCTGGGCGGTGTTATCTTTTTATACTAAAATCTACGTGTGTGCATTATTTACCATCACTTCCCAATACCTATCACCCATGTTAGACAGTGAGTTTCTACTCTAAACCAATCTAAAAGTGCCAACACCACAGCAGAAAATGGAGGCCAAGAAGAAGAAGGAGAAAGGCTGGACACGCCCAGATTCCCCAGTCTTGCCTCCTGAAACCCCATTCTAAAAACCCCCAAAATATCTATTTTTCACCCTGTGATAAATTCTCTATCATTCTACTTAAACTGTCATGGCTTGTAATTCTTCATACAAGGTTGGTAATGGTTTTTTCCAAGAGCTAAATCAAAGGCACAGGGGCCTTGGGCTCTGGGCCAAGGTCTCTGAGCCCCCTGACAGGGTCTGCAGTCCTCCAGAGCAGCCAGAGGAATTTCCTGGGTTCTGACACTCCTCCACCCAGACCTTCCCTCCAGGTCACTTCTCCTCCATCTCAGACCTGCTCCTGAAACCTGGGACAAAGTTCCTCCCTTTGCACCTCTCCCTCTTTCTCTCTGCCATTTGTCAAGCCAGATATAAAATCTGTCTCACAGATTAAACATCACCTGAGAGAAGGGAAAAAAGAATGGAAGCTGTCTCCAACTCTGGCTTGCCCTGATGGGGAAATGTATTGAAATCTCTGTCCTGCCTTTTATGAGATCAGTTGATGACCTGTTCTGCAGCTGTTTTAAACGATAAAATACCTGCTCTGCAGCTATTTTAAGCTTTAATCTCCTTGCTTTCTGCTGGCAACAGTTAAAGTGGTTGTGTTGCTACTTCCTTAACATCCCTGCTCCAGTTCCTCTCTCTGTGGAGGAAACCAGGGGTGCCACTCCATAAAATGTCTTGTTGGGATTTTCAACTGCTCTTGGCTCTGACCCCCTCAGCAAATAAAGGGGAGGGCAGAAAGGCACTTTCAAGTAGTTTTAACCATCTCACCTTAAAATTAATTAAACAAGGAACTCTTATGTAGGGTGGGTTTGAACTTCACTCTTAGGTACCAGTAAGGTGGAAGTGGAAGATGCAGGGTCCCTTGTTAGCACTTCATTCTCCACAAGACAACAAAAAACACAAATAGAAGCAGCCCTTTGTTTCACCCAGAGGCAAGACCCAGACTCAGGTCTTGTGGTGATGTGGCAGCAGCCCTGGGATGGTGCAGGCCATGTCAAAGCCAGCAGAAGTGCTGGCAAATTGACACCCTCCACCGTTCTGGCTGGTCTTTGCTCCTCAGACCTTTGACAAAGTTGTCCAAACGTGCCCAACAACTTCTGTTGGCCTGAGCAAAACTGCAGCTGCTTCAGAAGAGCTCAGAGTACTGGAAGGCCACAAGCCAGGCCCCGAGTCGTTGAATTAAAGGCTGTGGCCAAGGCATTCCAGAAATTTTCTCAATAGCACCCGTTAATTGTATACTGTCACACCTGATTAATTTCCAACAGTTGTTAGTAACTTTCCTTAGCAGTTCTCCGTTTCAGGACTCAGCAATTCTCTTGCGAAGAGCGCTGCAGCCACACACGCCCCCGGGAGAATGGGGTAAAAACACTTTTTAAAATAAAATGCCCGGCGGATGAATTAAACCCTGCGACTCGTTCGGCCAGCAAAAGGCGTGCCGGCTTTTCCAGCCAGGGGAAAAAGCTGCCATCGCCTTCTCCACGGGCCGGGCCCACCAGAGGGACACAGTGCCATCAGCCGGGCGCTGGCAGCCACCATCCAAGCGCTTTCCCAGCCAGGAAGGGTGGCAGGAGCTCGCCCCTCCCTGGAGAAGCTCCTTGCACACACAGCAGCACACGCAGAGCCTGTGC